TCCATCGGCAGACGAATGGATAAGAAAGTTGTGGTACATAAACACAATGAAATATTAGTCAGTCATTAAAAAGAATGCATTTGAATCAGTTCTAATGAGGTGGATGAAACTGAAGCCGATTATACACAGTGAAGCAAGTCAGAAAGAAAAACACCATTACAGTATATTAACACATATATATGGGATTTAGAAAGATGGGAACAATGACCCTATATGTGAGACAGCAAAAGAGACACAGATGTAAAGAACAGTCTTTTGGACTCTGCGGGAGAAGGCGAGGCTGGGATGATTTGAGAGGGTAGTGTTGAAACGTGTATGTTATCATATGTGAAGCGAATCACTGGTCCAGGTTGGATGCATCAGACAGGATGCTCTGGGCTGGTGCACTGGGATGACCCTGGGGGGTGGGATGGGGAGGGAGGTGGGAGAGGGGTTCTGGATAGGGAGCACATGTAAAAATAAACAAATAAATTTGAAAACCTATATAAGATAGACATAAAACATAAACTACTAAAATTGGTTCAAAAAGAAAAAGAACTGAATAGATCAATAGTCATTTAATAAATCAAGCTAGTAGTAAAATGTCTCATTGGCCAGTGGCACCATATAATTTTCCAGTGAATTTCACCAAATATTATAAGGAGTAGAAAATCACACACAATGTTACAGATGCTATATAAAAAAAGGAAATCTACCTGATTCATATTATAAGACTAGTACAAACTTGACACTAAAACTAGAGAAGGCAGAATAAGAAAATAAATCTTTAACCTATCTTTCTTATAAACATAGATGCAAAAACCCTACTAAACTGTATTAAATCAAATGTGGTGGTGTTTGTTTTTTTAAAAATCATACTTAGCAACATTAGAAAATTCTATCAATGCATTTTATTGCATTGTTTTAGGTAGAAAGGTATCAACAGATGTGGAGCAAACATACAATAAAATTTGGCTCATTAGTGAAAAAAGTATTTAGTAATAATAACAGAAGGGAATTTCCTTAATGTAGTATATATTACCTACCAAAAGTCTACAGCAAAAATTGTGAAACTTTAGAAATTTACCATTTAAGTAAAAAAAAAAAAAATCCCATACATCTATTCAAAATGGCACTAGAAGTTCTACACAACGCAAGAAGATTAGAAAAAGAAATATGACATATAATGAAAATGCAGTCTAACTAAAAGATATCAAGTAAAAAAGGGAACTATAACTCTAATGCAATCAAGATGAAATTGTCATTATTTTTAGATCTAATGATCATACAGTTAAATATAATTACAAGAAACCAATAGAAAAATTATTACAGTTAATGAGAGAGTTCAGCAAAATTTGTGGATACACAGTTCACAAAATACAATTGCCTTCCTTTTCATTGGTAATATGGAAAAGTAAGAAGAAAAAAAAGCAACAAAGATTACAGAGAACACAATAATTTAATAAAAGTGCACAATATTTTGGTGGAGAAAAATCACAAAAGTGAATTGAAAACCTGAAGTATACAGAGAAATAAATCAAATCTATAGGTTAGAAGACTCAGTATTAAATATACTCAGTTATACCTCCAATCTGTACATTCAATGAAATTTTATTATAAATCCCAACAGAATTCTTCAGGGAACTTGAAAAAATGATTCTACCATTCATATGGAAGAATAAAGGTACGTAGACAGCTAAGACAATTATGAAAAATAGTAGTCAAGTTGGGGACAGGACTTGCCCCCAAGGTATCAAGATGCTATCACAAGACCGTAGAATTAAAATAATGGAATGTTAGGAATAGACAACTTGATCACTAGAACAGAACAAAGAGTCCAGAAATAAACCCAAGCTTTACTGGGAACAAGGTATACATCAGAAACGTTGTCATAATCAGTGGAGAAATCAGCAACCAATTCAGTAAAGGGCATTGGGCCAAAACCTCGCAAAACTTTACCTCGATTATTTTGTATGATAATAAGACATTTAGAATATCAGGAGACAGTGAGACCTGCTGGGTTTCTAAACCAATTTACTAAAGGTAAATGAAAAGAGGTAAACATAGGATTAATATAGGTAAAGGATTTAGACCACATACCCAGCTCTCAGTTTCCCTCATTAACATATTTTTGCTTTTTAAATTCAACATCATGTCTTTGAGATATTGGATAGGCTAAAAAGTTCATTCAGGTTTTTCCATAAACACATATGGAAACCTTGGCTTGCAGTAGCACTATTTGTACCAGTCACCATTGTCCTTTTATCCTCTGCCATGCTTCTCCTTTCCTTGTCCAATTGTGGGAGACTTTCATTGTCTCAATGGGCCAGAAAAATAGTCTACTTGGTCTTAATGGCCCTGGTCCATGTCTCTGCCATCATGACTAGGACATTCCATGGTGGGAAGTCATCTTCAAAAATTTTTCTTTAGAGCAGTAATTGTGGTCATTGGTAACATCCAATCTCACCTCTTAACCTTATCTGTGACCCTGACAGCCATATAATGAGAGTTTTCAATATGGATCGCACTACAGCTTCTTTTTTTTTTCTTGAAGTAAATTTTATTTTCTAGAAGAGTTTTAGATTTGGAGGGAAAAAAATGAAGATTGGTACAGAGAGTTTCCATATACCCAGCACTCAGTTTCCCTCATTAACATTTTCTTGCTTTCTAAATTCAACATCACGTCTTTAACATCCAACATCTTTATTGGATTGGCTAAAAAGTTCATTCGGGTTTTTTCATAACATCATACGGAAACCTGTATGAACTTCTCGGTCAACCCAATATTTAAATGTATTAATTCTAACTGAATGTGGTAATCCCATTGACTGGAAGCTTCTCTAGGACTCACATGGCACAAGTTTCATGCTGGGGAATTTCATCTCCCCCTCAGTCAAATCTCTAGTTCTGCAGTGAAAGTATTTACATAGTCATAATGTTATAAATGGGGCTTCCCTGGTGGCTCAGTGGTAAAGAATTCACCTGCCAATGCAGGAGACACAGGTTCTATCCCTGCGTGGGGAAGATCCCCTGGAGAAGGGAATGGTAACCCACTCCAGTGTTCTTGTCTGGAGAATCCCATGGACAGTGGAACCTGGCAGGCTACAGTCAATGTTTTGCAAAGAGCTGGACATTACTGAGCAAGTAACACACAACAACTAGAGAAAGCCTGTGTACAGCAATCAAGACTCAGAGCAGCCAGGAATAAATTAATTATTTTAAAAAGTCAGCAACATTTCTTTTAAAAAAGATACGTAAATTTATTTGGCTGCACCAACTCTTAGTTGTGGCATGCAGGATCTTTAGTTGCAGCCTGTGAACTCTTAAGTTACTGCATGTGGGATCTAGTTTCCTGACTAGGGATCAAACCCAGGCCCCCTGCATTGGCAGTGTGGAATCTTAGCCACTGGACCACCAGGGAAGTCCCAGATGGAAAATATTTTTTAAAAAATTTCAAGAAAGACTCCAAAAGCAAAATTTGGATTTCCTAAGCACATGTAAGATATTCACACAACATTTACACTGTACAAGGAATTATAAACAGTATAGAGATGACAAAGTATTTGGGAGGACGTACATAGGTTACATACAATGGCTATGCCATTTGGTATAAGGGACTTGAGCATTACAGAATTCTGGTGTGCCTGAGAGTTGGAGAACCAAATTTACCAATCAAAGAGATGCTATAATAGCAACTAGTAGAAAAACAAAAAAATATATAAATATAAAAGACAAAAAATGGGAGGAGCAAGGGGGAAGGATTAGTAATGAAATCACACAGTAGTTAGTCAATAGACACTGTTAGCCTGGTGAGCTGCAGTACATGGGGTGGCAAAGAAAGGAACATAATCGAGCGACTGAACAACAAAGACATTAATAAACCAAGGAACAGAAGTATGAGCATATTATTCATAGTCACATGAATAAAAAAAGAAAGAAAGTTGTTCCCAAGAGCTGGGCAAGTGAGAGGACATTTTTAGGTTTTAATTTCTAACCTTTCTGTTGGGGTTGGGTGTTGCGTGTTCATCTACATGAATTATATTTGAGACAACAGTAATTAAAATAAATAATTGAGGAAAAAATCTAGATCTGATTCTGATATTTCTCTAGAGGTTCAGGTACTTTCAGTAATGCCCCATTACCGTAGAATCAAGATGAAAACCCTGAAGCAGGCATTCAAGGCCCTTCCTTGCCAGGCACTTCCTCCCGGAAGCCCTTGGGTGGAAGAGGGCGCCCTCTGCCGGAACAGCGACGTCAGCACGCCCGAGGTCCCGCCCTTTGCGTATCAACAGACTCCGCCCCCATCCCTTGGCGTGGGGGGGGGGGGGCTCTTCGCATCACGTGATCTCAGCCCCTTAACACCTGGGTGTCGAGCCCCAAGAAGGGGAGCCCAGAGACCCCAGACCCCAGGTGGGAGCGAGTGGGTCGCTGGGTTCTGGGTTCACTGAACGGTGGGAGACTGCCTGGTCAGGCTGGGAACGTGATTGGGAGCGTCTGTCAGGCGCGGCCCGATGTGAGGGTGATGGATGGGCAAGTAGCTCCTTGTTGGTTCTCTATGGGCAATTAACTTAAAGCTGGGCTTTTTGTCGGGGACCAAATCCCGGGTCTTCCATTTTTTATCTGCGCGTGGCCTTGGGCGAGTCACGGAATCTCAGTTTCCTCGCCTGTGGCTGCCAGCATGAAATGAAATAATACACAAGTACATAATTCATAAATAATCATTGTTTTTAAAGCTCATACAAGCAAATGTGTGACCTCTCAGAAGAGGGGAAGACCTTATAAAAGGTGGCTGTAGCTCAACCCTGTTTGGAGACCCTCCCCTCCTTCACCTGGGGCGCTGTGTCCCGCTGGGGTGCTTATGTCTGTGGTTCCTGGGTGCCCTGGAGGTGCCACCTATAAGGGAGGCTGCCTCCGAGGTTCCCACTGACCTGGTGTCCTGAGTGGGCTGGCAGGTCAGACCCCCCACTCTTATCTCCTCACAGGGCCTGCCTTCTGCATTGGGCCCTTGGAGGCGAACAGACATGTCTCAGGAGGCGGCTCCAGCGGGCCCCAGCACAGAGGACCCTGTTCTCAGTCCCCTCAACAGCCTTGGACTTTTCCAGGAGGGTGTGGAAGAAACCAGCTCCATGTCAGGCCTGGCACCAAACCTGTCAGGAGAGAACTCGGGGGACCCGGTTTGTGCTGGCAGCAGGAAGCGGGTCCTCAGGGAAGAGTCTTGTCAAGGTGCCAGCTCCCAGGCAGTGGGTGCTCCTGGGGCTAGCCTACAGGCCACGGCCCATCCAGTGGTCCTGGGGCTGCAAGCTGTGGGACAGAACCAGGATTCAGTGCCCAGCCCCAGGCTCAACCCTCAGCTGCCCACAGCGCCTGCCCAGGGGAGGGCTCAGGCCCTCAAGAGGGTCCAGATTATTCTGCATGACGTCTTAGCTGGAAGTTGTCCCGGGAATCTTTGTAGTGGGTATGTGGGGTCAAGAAAGAAAAGCAGGAAGTCTGAGACCACCTCAGAGGGTCAGGAGGGTGGCTTCTTGGGGCTTGGTCAGAGCCCTAGTGGGGACACGTCCCAGGCTGTGGGAGACCCCCCGCCAGGTGCTGACGTAGTGTCGTTGGGAGGTCTGTGCAGTCCTCTCTCTTGCAAGGGCACTGGGTCTGGGCCTGAACACCCAGGTGGAAGTTGGGTGGACTGTGACTCAGGGATTCAGAAGTTTGAATATTTGCCCACTGTAGGGAGTGGGACCCCTCCAGGTAGCCCCTGTGACCCTGTGAACTCCCCCCTGCCCCTTGGAGGACCGTCACTTCAGCTAGCTGCCCAGGATCCGCTCCAGAGCCCTGAGCTGTGCCCGGGGGGGTCTGGAAAGGCTTCTACAGCACAGCAGGAAGCCGAGCACATGGTGAGGCCTGGCGATGGTGATGGCCATGGCACTTCACACAACCAGGAGGAGCTGGAGGTTGGGGCTCTACCAGTGTCTGGGGGGAGGCCAGGGCAGGGATTTGCTAACACCCCCTCCAGCTTCCTGGAGCCTGGAGCCAGCAAGTCTAGCTCAAGCCCATCCACGAGGCAGAGAAATACCAAGTGTGCTAAACATTTGAAAATGGGCCCAGTGCCTGCTGCCCAGGATCAGGGCACTAACAGATGCCCAGACAGCTCCAACCAGGACCAACCAGAAGAATCCAGCCCAGGAAGCGGCCCCAGATTGGTAAGTTGACCCTGAGAGGTTGGGATGGGAAGGGAATCTTTATCTTTTGGTGTCAGTGAGTCATGTGTTCAAATCCTATCTCTGCCCACTGTCTAGCTGAGTGGCCCTGGAATATTTTTTAAGCTGTTTCCTCATGTGTGAAAAGGGAATACTAGTTCCACTTTAATGGGGTTGTTTTGAGGATTAAATGAGATGATGGTGTGAAATAACGTACCTAGCACAGCGTAAGGCACAAGATAAATACATTTGTGTTAAATGTGCTTTTCCTTGAGTGTTACAACAGTCTTGTGAGATAGGCATTAGCCCTGTGTTTCCATGTGGGGAAGCTGAGGCTCAGAGAAGTTAACAAACTTCTCCAAGTTCACACAGCAAGGGAGTCAGTGCCTAGCCATATTCCCTGTGTTCACTGCTTCCCTTTTCATTGTTCTTTTATTGATAATAATTAGCATTTTATTAATACTAATAATTATGGTCAGTATGTTTATATACCAAGGGCAGAAGATGGCATTGCTGTGTTTGGTGTATATTTCTGACATAGTTGAATTTTTTTTTAAATTGAAGCATCATGTTAGTTTCAGGTGTAGAGCATAGCAATTCAATTATATATATGTAAGAGTCAGACACGACTGAGCGACTGAACTGAACTGAATATATATGTGTATATATGTTCTTTTCAGATTCTTTTCCCTTGTAGGTTATTACAAAATATTTGAGTATAGTTTCCTATTTTATATAGTAGCTCCTTGTTGGTTCTCTATTTTATATATCATAGTCACATAGTTGAATTTTTATTACCTTGGTTGAATATGTGTTGTATGCTGAGTGCTTTTGATTTAGTCTTCACATGAAACCCAGAGAGGTGGTTACAGGCCAAAGGTCTCACAGCTGGTAAATGATAGAACCAGTATGCAGACTCAGGCAGTCTGTCCAGAAAGCTTACTGCACTGCCTGCTTGTGCACATTCCCTGCTAGCATCGCAGTAGTAAAAGCACCTGGCATGCTTACTGCATGCTGGGTACTATTCCCAAGCACTTATCTTCAGTCTTCCTAACACCCTTATAGAGAAGATGCTATTGATATATACCCACTTTAATGATGCAGACACTGAGGCTCAGACGGATTAAAATGAGCATGTCAAGGTCAAACAAGCAAATTAATTGAGCTAGTATAGGAACCAATGAGCTGCCTGTTGTGATTTATCACTATTTGATATTGTAATTATATTGGAGATGCTATTACATTATCTGTGTAAATATCACTCAAAACATTAATTTTTAACAAAAAATGAATACATGTTTATCATGAAAATAAGGAAGAAATAAAAATCCCCATAATGCCAACAACATTCAGAGCTATCTCCTGTTGACATTTTGGTATATATATCCTTTCTTCCATCTTTTTCATATGCATATATATCTTTTCTTTGCCTAGAAATGGGATCATGCAGGTCAAAATTTATAACTTGATTTTTTAGCTATTAAAAATTGTTTTACAGTGAAGTTGTCGACATAGAATGAGGAAATCCCTTTTAATGTCTCCTGGCCCAATTGCCCTTTGTTTGATGTTAATGGTTAGCATCCTTTCAGTCTCCTTTTTTATGAACTTCTATACATATATGAACATCTGCATATTGATCACACCTTTTCATATATAAGTAGGCTCATGCTGTGCCTCATTGTTCTGGGACTTGTACTTTGATTTTCAAATGCTTTAGTGTTTGAAAATGTTTCCAACTTGGCAGATCTGTGCTTTCCCTGAACCCTGCATTGTGTTTGTCTACAGGCACTGCTGGGACCAGAGGGTGGGCTGGGACTTGCTTTTCTCATTTCTGGTCACTGTCGTGTAGTTAAGAGCATGAAGCTCAGAGGCCGACAGATTGGCATTCAGGCTTGGCTTTGCTGCTATCTGAGTGTGACCTAGGCAAGTGGCCTAACCTTTCCGAACATAATTTCCTCATCTGTAAAATAGAGGTAATAAAGTACTTACCTCATTGGGCAGTGGTAAGGGGCAGGTGAGATGCCGTGTACCTGTGTTCGGTATTTAGCACAGTGCCTGGTACAAGAAAAATACTAAGAAATGTTACCTGTTGTTGACTATACAATTTTGTCCTTCTCCAAGGACTGCTGAGGTGAACCTCTGTGCATCTGGCTTCTCCCCATTTCAGATTATCTATGTGGGCCAGATGCCTAAAATTGGGATTCCTGGGTCTGCAGTATTTTGAGGGGGTGTTTGAATTTGGTGGTGGAGGCAGGTGCCTGCCCGCCTTGATGGGAAGCAACCCACGGCTGCTCTCTGCTTCAGCCCCATCCTTGACTCTGTGACACGGTCCCTTATCCCACAGCATCCCAAACAACCGGTTGCCATGGCAACTGGTGCCAGCTGCAGGAGAAGAATGGAGGCTGTGCTGCGACAGGGACGGGCAGGTGGTTGAAACCAAGGCTGAGTGGGGTGTGGGCAGGTGTGGGCGTAGTGCCCAGCTGGTCTGGATCCCATCTCAGGGCTCTGGCACCTTCTCCTGGAGACAGCTAGGCTCGTGTCAGGAGCAGATAGACAGGTTCAGGGTCAGGCTCTGCTTCTTACAATGGAGTGACTTTAGAGACATCTCTTCTCTGAATCTTAGTTGCCTCCTCTATGAAATGGAGGGATCAGCTGGGCCCTGGAACTACTGGGAATCTAGTGTCAGAGGCTGGCTATGTTGTGTTCTTTTGGTTTGAGATAGAGATTCTTGGAGGAGGGTGGAGAAGTTGGTTGAAGCTCCATTTTCTTCTCTGTTTGATCCCCAGGGTGGTTAGTGAGATCCGGAGCCACTCTGTGGCTGGGATAGCAGGAGTCGTGGGACGGGCAGCTCTGCCAGGGCCCCCTACTCTGCCCAGCACTGTTCGGGAGGTACACAGCTCCTCTGACCCCGCCCGAGCTCTCAGGCTCAGGTACCCTGTCTGCAGCTACAGACTATCAGGAGGTGTGTGAGGGAGGAACATGTCTCCAGCAGATGGACAGCCGAAGAGTAGCTCTTTTAAGTGCTTACTGTATACTAAGAGCTTCACATAGGTCATCATCTCATGTTTAATCCTCATAGTAGTGTAAAAATTCAGTCTTAATATGCTTATTTTGCTGATTAAGAAAACTGGGATTCAGAGAAGTTTAGTGACTCACTCAGGGTCACACAGCGAGTAAGTGGTGGAGTCAGGCTTTGAATCCCGGCCTGTTCAGTTCTACTCTGTGCCCTGAGCCTGGCTGCCAATGGCCTGGCTACAGGATTTAGACTTTTTTTTCCCTCATGGGGGAGAATGCAGTTTATTTATTCTTTTAAATTAATTTTTACTGGAGTATAGTTGCTTTGCAATGTTGTATTTCTACCGTACAGCAAAGTGAATCAGGTATACATATATATACCTTCTCTCTCTTTTAGATTTCCTTCCCACTTAGGTCTCCACAGAGCACTGAGTGGAGTTTCCTGTGCTATACAGTAGGTTTTTGTAGTTATCTCCTTTTTTCATAGTAGTGTTTATATGCCAGACCCAGTCTCCCAGTTCATCCCATCAGTGCTTCCCCTCTTGGTATCCATACCTTTAGTCTCCACTTTTGTGTCTCTATTTCTGCTTTACAAATAAGTTCACCTGTATCATTTTTCTAGATTCCACATATTATATGATACGTGTTTTTCGGTTTCTGACTTTACTCTGTGTGACAATCTCTAGGTCTGTCTGGGATTTAGATTTTTATGGGACTTTTTGTTCAGCACACAGGTGTGCTCCTCCAGGATCTCAAAGTCCAGTGGAGAGGAGACAGAGTAACCAGAATTGAAATGCAGATAGAAGCCTGGCATGTTCTGGATCCCCAGAGGACAATTGAGTCTTCCTTGGGGATGGGTGAGAGGGAGGGCTTGGAGGTAGGGAGGAGCAGAAGGTGGGGGCTGTAGGAGCTGGGTTTGGGCAAAGAAAGTGGGTATGCAGCAGGCCAAGTGTAGGAAGAACATCCCAGAAAGAGGACAGAGCACATGCAAAAGCACAGAGGCAGGAGGCAGCCTGGAGCATTGCAGGAGAGGGGCAGTAGGTGGGATAGGGTCAGAGGGGAGGAAGGAGGTGGGAAAGATCTGTGATCATAGCATTGCTTTATTTTGGGGGGCTCCAAAATCACTGCAGATGGTGACTGCAGCCATGATATTAAAAGACGCTTGCTCCTTGGCAGGAAAGTTATGACCAACCTAGACAGCATATTAAAAAGCAGAGACATTACTTTGCCAACAAAGGTCCATCTAGTCAAAGCTATGGTTTTTCCAGTAGTTATGTATGGATGTGAGAGTTGGACTGTAAAGAAAGCTGAGCACCAAAGAATTGATGCTTTTGAACTGTGGTGTAGGAGAAGACTCTTGAGAGTCCCTTGGACTGCAAGGAGATCCAACCAGTCCATCCTAAAGGAAATCAGCCCTGAATATTCATTGGAAGGACTGATGGTGAAGCTGAAACTCCAATATTTTGGCCACCTGATGGGAAGAGCTGACTCATTGGAGAAGACCCTGATGCTCAGAAAGATTGAAGGCAGGAGTAGAAGGGGATGAAAGAGGATGAGATGGATGGCATCACCGGCTCAGTGGACATGAGCTTGAGTAAACTCCGGGAGTTGGCGATAAACGGGGAAGCCTGGTGTGCTGCAGTTCATGGGGTCGCAAAGAGTTGGACCCGACTGAGTGACTGAACTGAACTGAACATTGTTTAAAGGGAATTGGAGAGACTGAAGTGTGGTCAGATACCAGGAGGGAATCTCTCAAGGATAGGAACCAAGGAATCTTTAACAACATCAAAGCTTACAGAGAGAGCTTTCTGTCTTCCAGGCACTGTTCTGAGAGCCTTGAATAATGGTGATAATCCTTGTATTGGCACTAGGAAGTTGATAACTGGTATGATCCTCATTTTACTAATGAGAAAACTGAGGCCCAGAGAGGTTAAGTAACTTTCCCAAGATCTCACAGATCCTAGGTAGTGGCAGCAAGTATGCTATTG